TGAGACATGATGTAAGTCAAACATGATATAGGTGAAACTAGATAGATATGAAACACTGATGTAGATGAAACACATCAGGTGATGAGATCAGTTGTACAATTACAGGGTCAACAACGAATAGTTAGGAAAAGAAAAAGAACCCCCCCCTCTAACACTGTAACAGTCATATCTGCTGACATTGTAGAACAATAGATGCAGCTAGGTCTAGCCAGACTCTTCCAGACTCAGTCTAGACTTGTAACTATATCTGGTTCATCAGATACATCAGATAAACAATTGTGTGTCTAGATAAGATATAGATCAGATCAGATCAACTAATCTATATTGTTCATGAACTGTTTTGTAGCAGCTCTGTACAAAGAACTCATAGGTGGGTCTCACTATTTGTTCAACATCCCTTATTCTCCATAGTGTCTAGCTGTGATCTAGCCTACATCTTTCCTTTCCTCATTTCAACACTTGACTTTGTACCTCATCAACTCTATTCATAGGACATTGGGTGAGTTGTTTAGCTGCCCTGGAACTCTGTTGGAGGCTCTTTGTATTTTATAAGCAATTAACATCTCCCTTCTTTGGTGGTTGGGGTTTCTTAGGTGTTAGAGGGATCACATACATATCAGCACCATTTAGCTATTCAGCACTCAGCACTTGTAACCAGACATGATTCAAGAAAGGAATTGTTGATTCTAACATAAGTACTCAATATACATTGATAATTTATAATATTCCTCATTTCCCTTCACTTGACACTATTATTGAAACAATTCAAGTCACCTACATATGCAGCTTTAACCTTCTGTACAGGCAAGTGGTGTGCTACACACCTTGGCTACAGCATACCTCATGATCTTTGCTACTTGCTCAACTATGAAGTTAGGCTGATTCCAGGAAGATTCATGGTCACTTACCTCAGTATCCCCAATCTGGGCAGTGCAGCATGTGGAAGTGCAAATCATGCTCACAGCAAGAGCTCAAATGAGGGCCACCCCACCCTGTTCTCCAGTGGGTGGAAAGGGGGCAATGATAGCTTGCATGTCTATAAAATGTGACAATGACAGTCAGAACACAGCATTGTGGAGACAGGGCTGGCCTTGAATCTACTCAGATCTATCAAGGAACACACCTTAATCATCTTTGTTCATGTTCACTGCTCAAGTTGGTAGTGTCATCATGTGATAATACAAGCTTGGCTGCAGCTATCATTGTACTGGATACCAATGTGCATGTGGTAGACACACTTGTTTCAATTGTGTGCACATTACTGCGACAACCTGCACAATGCAATCAGTAACTTGCAACTTGTGTTGAACAATATCCACACATAGAAATTAGGTACAATCCTTCACCCTGTTCTATCATTAGCCACACCACCACCCCACAGCCTCTACTTGCTTTCCCAGCATCTGGTGAACAAAGGCAAAAAGAAGGCAACAAATACTCCTGTGTACTATCCACACTCCAACACCCAGCAATCATATTGCCAGACACATATACATTGCCCATAGATGGACTTATCTAGGTGATGTTCTAAGCAGATGCAAAGAACAATAAAATGACAAACAGGAGAGTATGCATACATACACCTAGAGTTAAGAAAGGGACTTGCAGGACTTAGAGAGGTACCAGCTGGTGGTGGCAGTCCTTTTGTTACAGTCTCAAAGGGGGGTTCTCTTTTCTTCCTTACTATTTGTTGTTGACCCTGTACTATCACCACTGTTCACATCACTTGGTATGTTTTACCTGCATCATGGTTTCATATATATTGTGTTTCACCTTCATCACATTTCACCTATATCACATTTCACTTATATTGCATTTCACCTACATCATGTTTCATCCCCATCACTGATACAACCCAGTGAAACCATTTCATATTCATCACTGATTCAACTCAGTATGTTTCATACTTATTAAACTCTATCTACCTTACTCTATTAAAGGCGTACTACTTGCACTACTGTACTTCAGTTTTGTCCTCTTGTTCCCTACATAACCTCATAGGGACATTTTCAGTAATAGACACAGTTGTCTATCCAGTCTTAGTCTGAAGCTTTGCTTCAACCAGTATATGCCCTCAAACCACTATTAGTTATAGTGGCTCAGTTTACAAGTCTTGTCTAAGCATAACACATCAGCCTTATGTGTATTAATATCAGTAACAGTCATAAGTTGAACTCCTGATCCTCAGAAATTAGGTCACTTAACACCTTTCCCTTCAGTCTAGAGCATGAGGCCTTGAAGGCTAGGGAGCCTATGGCCTGAAGATAATCAGAAATGTGGTCTCATACCTAGACATGTGTCTTCAACATGTCTGGGTACAAGACCAAAGAAATATAGAGAACAGCCACAGGTCACTCTACACAGTGTAGCAACACTCCTTTTCACACTCCTGGGCCTTTTCACACCCATTAAGAAACTTATCTATTTCTATACCAATAAGCTTCTAATTTTGTTTGAAGTTACTAGATATGGACACTAACTGCACAGCAAATATTAGACCTATCAGTGATGGTGCTATGGCTCTATAAATCTGTGAATCAGCAACATTCACTGGAATCAAAGAGTAATGAATTGTGTTGATGTGCTACCCATTGCACAACACACATCTGGCATTGATCTTTTGTACTAGTAGCTTCCAAACACATTTTTCCTCATTTTATATCTGCTAATGGGCAAAATCAGAAGATTGTACATCCCTCTATAATACAATCTGTCTGAAAGTCAAACATGGTGTGGCAGAACATGATAAGAAGTGACATGGCACATCAAGCATACACAAGATAGGCCTAGATCATGATGTAATATGTCACCTTCAGTGCAAAAATGCAGCTAGCTTGCACAGTGTGTGACCATAGAGCACCCATAATTAGAAACTATCACAATCTGTCAAGGTATCACTCTTGACCCTAACCCTATCCTCTAACCCTAACACTTACTTGTGATGCTAGTAGTTACAAGAGTGAAGCGGTGTGCTTGTCTTGGGAGTTGTTAACTCAGAGGATGAGTTTAGGATGAAGTAGACAAGTAGTGAACTGAGTAAGTTCAACTTGTCTCTCTATGCTGCATTGTTCTGGTATTTATACATGAGGGACCAGACTCCTAATACTACTGGGAGTACACCTAACGCCTAGGCTGACTGATACTCCATATACACCATTGGCTATCTAAGAATACCAATACCTGACATGTGAACACTCTGCCTCATGTATGGTCAGTAGTCCTACTGTGATGATCACCTGAACAGCTGTGTATACTCCTAGTACTAATGGGGATATCTCTGTGAGACATATGCTACTACATTAGCCATGCCCCAAATGGGCTGAGCACTTGACTAGTCACATGTCACCATGCATGACACTATCCTTATCTAGGTAGATATCTAATCAAATGTGATGTAGATCATCTAGATGCTTATGATAAGATAGACACTATGAAATTTGGTGATACAATCAGTAACATGGTAGTCACAGATTGTCACTGTGAAAAGGACCACCAAATCCAAGATCATTGTCATCAAACAAGACGTTCCAAAAATACATCCCTTATGCTCTGATCCCAAGATCAGAGTAAACGAGAAATATATTGGGACAGAGAAGAAACTATGTAGATACTTTTTGTGAGTGATTGGCCTGATTAACAGCACAGACAGTCATGATGCACTTGGGTGTGAAAAGGAGTGTTATTACACTGTACCATAGCCACACTCTAACAACAGACTTTCTCCTTCGGCCCGAAGTAGAAATGATGGCGAAGGGCCCATGGGCGAGAAGCCGGCCGCCCGAACGGCCCGCTCTCTTCTTGTTGTGCAGCAAGACGCTGGTGGGAGAGGGGTGAGCAGACAGCGCAGGCGGGCGCGAGGGTGAACCGGTGGCGGCAGAAGAGGGCGAAGGAGAGGCAGGTGGGTGAGGCAACGGCGGCAAGGGGTGAAGGAGTGCAGACGAGCAAGGCAACGGCAGAAGAGGGTGAATGGCGACGGGCGGGTGAGGTGACGGCGGCAGGGGGTGGAGGAGCGCAGATGAGCGAGACGGCGGTGGAAGAGGGCAAAAGGGGTCAGGCCACGGCAGGTGAGGCGACAGTGGCAGGGGATG